CTTTGCTCCCAAATCTGAAGTGTACTTTAAAAAGTCAAGCCACAGATGAAAATCGCTGTTAGCATCTTGGCAACACAAGCAACAGGGACTTTTAAGATTTGGAAAGTCTTCTCTGGGTTGGGAACAGAATTACCTGAAACACCAAAGCTTTAAAACTATCATTACTTTCTGGGGACTTCTCCAGCTGAAATAAACACTAGCTTTATGGGACTTAGCATCATCTGGAGGAGTGCCAGAGACTCATTGCCCAGAGCAGCGGTGACTATTGAAAAGACAGCCCCCTCCCTCTGGGAAATTGAGTTGCAGTCTCTGTCCCCAGCACAGTTCCTCCCTTCAGAGCAGCCTATAGACAGCTGTGCCATTTCACTGGAATCCAACAGAAAAACAAAGTATGTCAAGCTGAGGTCATTCCTGAATCTACTACTAGCTTCCTGTCCTGTGGGCCTGTTCCTTCTGCAGGGGTCCCTGGACTCTGGTGCTACCCTGCACAGAAGTTGGCATTGTACACACTCATTGTAAAGACCAGAATAAGCAGCACTGCAGGAATTAGCCTTTCAAGAGACTGGAGGGGCATCCAGGGCAGCCTCTGCCCCAGCCATTGTGTAATCAATCTTTTTCTCTTTTTTTGATGGGGGACAAGACACCAGGCTTGAATTCCTACTTTTAAGTCCCATTCAAGTGCTCTATTTGTGCTGCTGGGGGCCTGAGGCTGCAGATGGAGCAGTCGTGCTGCTGTATGGCTCTGCCTGCTCTCTCTCTCTCTCTACTGGGAAAAGTTGAGGAGAGCAAGGCTACAAGGGAAAGAAATTAAAACAGATCCTTTATAAACTGGTGCTCTTTTGGGATATACTAACAACTGTGAAACACCATGACTGTGTGTGGTAGCTGCCTACATGTCCACTGCTTCCTGAGTCAAGGAACAGGCAGTGCACACTTCTGAATGTCCCATGGTTGCAGAGGTTTCTGCACACTTAGCTCTTATTAGTGCTGGCAAAGTAATTAATACACATGGGGTAAAGATTTAAGTAAACTAACATTGCCTCTTGATAAAGGATTGTTCTACCCCATAAATTATAATATAATTACAAGTCAAGCAATTGCTGATTAAAAATCCCTCCCCAACCCCAACTTGCCTGAGAACCAAGATTTGACAAGCTGGCAGGAATGATCAGCTTCAGCAGGCTTAGTCTTTCCATAACAGATGCTTCTCCCTTGCTCATCCACATCAGCTGGAACCATTGAAGTCCTCCAAACCAGAACAACATATTTTCTGGGATTCAGAGCATCTCAGCCATGCCATTCCAGGGCCAGTATAGTTTGCAGGGATGAGTGAGGGCAGGGTTCAAGTACTCAGAGGGACTGCTACTGTTGTTACTTAGCATCTCAATAAAACTCCACAAACACAATGACCAAACCCCACAACCCAAACCCAAATCCCCATTAAAAAGAAAAAAAAGGCTGTGCTGACTCAAGGTTGGCACCCTAAAGTAGGTGCTGTGTTTAATGTTTCAGCTGTAGCTGCTGGTAGAGGACTTGGTTATTCACTGTATATCTTGCTAGCTTCATCCAAAGCTAGAAAGATTTATGACTTGATTATTCTGTGAATATTCTGTATATATCTCCATAAATACAGGGGACAAAATTCCTGCATTAACTTACAACCTCCATTAGCCCTCCAGCTTTTTTACAGTGACTGTACAGAATGTGAATCAGTGCAAACTGAATTTAAAGTGTTTTAAGACATAGCATCATGAGCTGGTATTTTCTACAACCCTCTCTATTCATGGTATAAGTTTGTTGGGTGTTTTTTTTTTTTTTTTACTAAGATAAACTAGCACTCTTCTTTATTATAGCATTATGTTAAATATGTTCATGTATTTTTCAGAAATAAATGTATTTATAATGTGTAACATACTGTATAGTTCTCCACTCCAGGATCCATTGTAATCCAAGCATAAGAAATTAATAAAAGTATCACTATTATGGTGTCTTCAGATATTTTATTAATGAACACCTGGCTTTTAGTATAGCAACTGCCACACCTTCAGGGTATCAGGTGAGCATAGCTAGTCAAGAAAGGAATTGTTACCTCCAAGCTTTTAAAGGTCTTCTTTAGCTTTGGCAAAGAAGCAAGTTTGCTCTTTGGAAGCAGCTGCTGTTCTCAAAGATCTAGAGGGTGAGGAGAGGCTTTTGAAAGTTCAGGTATGACAAAACACATATGTTAATTTTGAGCAGCCTTGTATTAGGTGCTGTTGCTGGACTTTGCTTCCAGAGACAGGCACCACACACAGCACTCCCAAGAAGAATCGATGAAGGCACTGGGACAAAGTGTGCTGCTGCTCAGCACTGGGGTTCCTTTCTGAAAATCTGGATTCCATAGCAGCACTGCACAACAGCCTCAAATGACAGATCCTAGCTGGCCTCCTGGCTGCTCTTCCTCAGCCCTGATTCCCAGCCAGCAGCAGCCTCCTGACAGAGCAGCTTCCTTTCCCCTGCAGGTGTCTAAGGCACTGTGTACAGCACCCCCCAACAGCTTTAACTGAACTGTATAACCAGGTGATACAGAGTGAAGCTAAAGAGGGTGCTGGCACAAGAACTTACACACAGATATTCAAAAAAAAAGTCATGGTGAAAAGTCAATGAGACTCAACTAAAGAGAGACCTAGAAAACAAGTTAGCCAGAAGTGCATCTGTGGAGGTAGAAGGGAAATAATACACTTTTGCAAAAGCAAATAACAGGAGCCATGAGAGCCACTAACACCCCAGTGCCATTGGAGAACAGGCAGTGAACACAGGGCCAGCGAACAGAGGAGGAAACCTCCAGGTTGTCTTTTACCCTGTACCAGTGCTTCAGAAGAGCAACTCCCATCTCACTGCTGCTCAGACCCTTCTTGCCAGCTGAGGACCAAGTAGCAAGCCTTAAACACAGAAGACTCCCCAGAGTGGATAAGGAAATTAACTTTATTCCTTTGCTCACCCACCTCCACTTAGCACTGCACATACCCTACACTAAGAATCATACCAGCCTCCCACACATAGCTTTGCACCAAAAGGCACAGTGCCTGCAGGGGACTCTGTAATTCCCACAGGATACACACCCAGAGCTCCCTGCCACTTTGGAATGGTTCAGTAACCCAGCAAAGGGCAGCAGAGGCTTAACTCTCACAGCCCTTTCATGACTGTGGGGATGACTGTTTCATCCCCACAGTCATCCGAGCTCTCTAAGCAATTATTTCTGTTTCCCTTACTGGGGCAAAGGAAAGTTCCAGTAGCAAACAGGAGGTGTTTAGGTCTTGGCTTACACGCACACAGTTAAGACCAGTGCCAGAGAACCCTGCCTGGTGCACTGAGGTGTGGTTTATATTACTCTTTTAACTGCCCAGTTAAATAACATTACAGACTGCTACTAAAGACTTGTCATGAGGCACATTATGAGCTGACACTCAGCTTTCCCAGACAGAGCTCCACCTGTACCAAGGTCATTTAGTTCCAAAGTAAGAGGCTGTTTGACCTGTCTTCAGATGACGTTTTTTTCGTGCCCGTGATCTCCTTCTCCCTCCCACCATACAACTTGGAACAATCTTTTCATCTGGTTAGATTTTGAAAGCACACAAGACGAAGATCACTGGTTATCCTGACAGTAGGACGGAAAAGCATTTCTACCAGAAAAATAAAAACATAAGATTACTCCTGAACTTTCTTGGAATAGGAAAGGAAGTAGAACACAGATCCCACCACTCATTAACGTGCTCCAATCACACAGGATCAACAGAACCTAATTAAAAAGAACAACACCTACTGCCTCAAGCAAGTTACTGATCAGTTCTTTTCTTCCATGTATAAGTGGTAATCCTCCCTTTTAAAGGCCCCAAAGCAATACAATTAAGGCTTCTCTCCTGCCCTTAACAGGAAGAATTTCTAATTAAGCCTTAGAGGAAAAAAGGGAAAAGTATTTTTCCTTCCCCTCAAGGACTACCCCATCAGCTATAAGCAGATCTCAGTGTAAGTGCAAGCACCAGAGCTGCCCCAGGCTGGGCAGGAAGGAGGAGGTGGAGCCCTGTTTCCCCTCTACTGCCTGGAGACCTCTGCTGTACTGTTTTCAGCCAGGACTTCAGAAAGCCAAGAGGGATGCTGCCCAGCTGCTGGGACTGACAACACCACACTGAACCACCCCTGATGTTCAAAAAGGCAAGGCTTTTTTCTCATCTAAAAGAAACAAGTTAAAAATTAAGAAAAGCAGTTGTATGCTAACAGCGATGTCAAATTAGCCTTGATCCAAGACCTTTGAAGACTCCTAACTGCCTGTTGACACATTAAAGCTTAAGAGTAGCTCTAAGTTAGATTTTTTTCCCCCTGAATTTCAGACCACCTAGGCCCTTTTATTTTTTTCCCAGTTGACAGGAAGTTTCCATGTTCTCATTCACCAGAAAAATGCCACCTACCCTTTTCTGTTTCTAGGGCAAGAAAGGCAAGTTCATGCACAGCATCATTAGCAAGGCCCATTTGTGTAGTGCTTTGGCATCCTTGCTTTCCAGTCCTGCCACACGAGCACAGCTGTACCTTACCTAGTGACTTAGGGACAAGTGGGCAAGTCCCAGCTCCTCAGCAGAGTCAAAATAACTGCTCTGCATCTCCAGAGAAGCAGCTGCAGGATCTGCATTGAGCGAGCTTTGGTGTACTTCTGCTCAGTGTTGGAATGGAGCCTAGGTCACTACTTTTGAAAGCAGTGGCTTTCAAAAGTTTCTGTTTCATTAACAGAAATGTCAACACCACCCAGCAGCAATCCTGCCTCAGTCTGCAGCCCAGGCCTTGACAAGGTCTCCAGTTTGTCTATGGCAGACAAGTAACACCAAACACAGAAGAATTCCAGAGTGAGATGAATTCAGAGCGTTTGGAAGGCTTGCACAGCCACTGGGGTAGTTTCTGCCTTGCAAATAAATTCTTACAGCTAGGGTCTCCAGGGGAAGGGATCCACCAAACAAATTGGTTTGACAGTCACTTTATTGCAATCTATTGATTTCATGCATGGCTGACACCTTCCTTTGCCACAGCACAGAAACCACAAGCACCACACACAGAGCTGTCCCAGTTGCCACAGCAGCAAATCCCAGAGCCCAGGGGGCTGCAGCATGCACAGCTGCTCCTGTGGGGAGAGACACCCCAATGAATGCTCCCAGGGAGCACAGGGATGCCCGAGGGGCTCAGCCTTTCTGCAGAAAAGCCTTAGACCAGGCCCCTTCCCCTGCCCTGCTGCCACACTTACCAAGGCCATCCTTGGCTGCATCCTGTCTTAGCTCATGCTGGAGGAAAATCACAGGGCCTTTGCTGGAGACATGGGAAGGACCTTCCTGAAAAGGAGGCTCAGCACTCCTTTTACCCCCTACAGAGCAATATGAAGGTTGTAGGTAAGAAGAGGTAGAGCCCTGAAGGTCAGCAAATTCTGTCCAGGTCAGCTTCCCAACACACGGAAAGTGCTGAAGGCACAGTTTCCATGTGAGCCCACATAGAGCTAAGAGCCCATGAAGACCTCTGTCTTTTTGGCATAAGAAGAGCCCTTAGTCAGTGGAAAGGAGCAGGAAATGCTTTCTCAAGTTGTCCATGCCTTAAGGGAATTACTCCATGGTAATGGAGTAATTGGTAACTGGTAATTGGTAACTGGTAATTGGTAAAATGGTAACTCCATACTACATGACTCCTCCTCCCCAGCTTGGAGACTAGGCCCTTGCTGCCCCTTGGCAAGGGAGCAGAAGGCCAGGACACTTACTGACTCTGGAAGGACAAGAGGGGATGCAGGACTCCTTTACAGACTGGTGGCACACGGAAGCACTGCAGTGCAGGTACACCTAGAGAGAAATGGAACAGCCTGAAATCCCTCAGGCACTGTCTGGGGCCTGGTGATATCCTAGTGCTCTGCACTGACCCCAGCCAGCAGCTAAGCAGCCACACAGCTGCGTACTCACTCCCCATACTCTGCCCCAGCAGGGCAGAAAAAGAATAGGAAGAGCAAAAGCAAGAAAACCTGTAGCTGGAGAGAAAAGACAGTTAAAGAAGTGAAGGAGAGGGGGAGAGGGAAGAAAAGACCTAAAGCACAAGTGATGTAAAAGCAAGTCACCTGCTCTGCTCCTACAGGCAGGTCAGTGCCCAGGTAGTTGGGGCATCAGCTGTCCTGGAAGATGAAATACCCCAGAGTTTACACTACTGAGCATAAAATCATGCAGCATGGAATAATCCTTTGGCCACTTTGAGTCAGCTCTGCTGCCTCCCAGGTTCTAGCCTGTCCCATGCCTACTCACTTGGGCTTGAGAGACAGCAGAATGAAGAGAAAGTCTTGGTGTTCTGCAAGTGCCATTCAGCAGTCAGCAAGAACATCTGCTTTCAACACTGTTTTAAGGACAAATTCAAAGCCACAGCACCATATGGGCTGCTAAGAGGAGAGGTAGCTCCATACCATGGGCCTGGTCCTTACGGGGGAAAGCAGGAAGGTCTGTTCGGCTTGTTTCACACCCAGCCTGTAGCCTTGGAGCCCTCTGCTGTCCACTCCGAGGCAGCTTTGAAACCTTTACATCACACACTTTCAAACTCGAGCCAATCTGGCCTTACAGCACTTCTCCCTGACACCTGCAATACTGCTGCCCGGACACCACTTCACTGGGAACCTTGTTAAGTACAGCTGAGACCAATTTTGGGTATTAGTCGATGCCAGGAGAGCTGAGCAAACAGTAGATGGCAGGGTGAATTTCATGTGACTTAACTGGAGGGGCTCAATGAGATTCAGAGCCCAGATGCTTAAAAATGTACTCAAAGTTTATTTCCAAGTAATTTTGGGCAAGAAATGTAGTTTAGAGAATATTGATTAGTGTAGCTAGAGCACACACCCTAAGCTAATTCACCAGACAACACTTGCTTAGGTACACTACTCTCCTTCTAGTAGTCACATTCTCTGTCACACTCCAAAAGTGATGTCTCTTACCTCTATCACATTCACTTCAAGGAATGAGGTTTTTGGCATTAACCTCTCCCCTTCTATTTCAGCAGGGGATCTTCCTAGTCTTTGCCCCATTCCCCCAAGGAGACCAGAGACTCATTGTCATGAAGTGGTTCTTATTGTTCACACATTTTACTTCAGTATGAAACTAGGCAGGCAGGACAGGATCTTACCAGTCCAGAGAGTTTCTCATGGGAAGTAGAATCCACAAAGGTGAATGTGAGGCAACATGCAGCTCCAAAGACAGAGGAGCTGGCTGGGACACAGCCACAATGTGAAGACCTGAGCACTCAAGGGAATGGAGCTCCCACTGATGAAATAAGTACATCGGATATACAGCCTGGTGGGAAAGAAAAGCTCCAAATCAGGCAAATAAGAAAAGCCACTCTGATATCCCCTTTCTCCAATATGGCAACCTATCGTCTGCTTTAATTACTTATATCCCCTTTCTTCTGTCACTTCCTTTTAACAAGTACTTGAAATTCTCTTTAGTGTTTAGATTTGAGAATCTGCAGATTGTCACTGATCAATTCCAGCTTTATTCCTAATAATTAGGTCTTTAACCTACTCCAGGGCCCTCATGTGAAATCAGAGGTTGTGACAAGCAGGAATTTTTCTAGTGACATTTAACCCAGGGACACCCAGCAACATTAGCCCCAGGGTAATACCTGAAAATGCTATCCCTAGTGACAGAGCCAAGGCTCCCACTCTTCACATCCCTGCTTGCCCACCAACTCATTCCCATATTTGGCCTGGTCTGCATTTATCAGGAATGACAGACAGGCACCATCACTGTGGTAAAGTCAGGCTGGATCAGTATGAGGCTGGAGAACAGCATTTGGCCTGTGGAAGTCTGTAGGATGACCATTGAGCAGCCAAAGCCATGGCAGGCTGTTCCAGCTCTTCCAGCCTAGCAACAGCTGCAGCTCTTACCTGAAATGTAGTGCCACAGGCAGAGAGTGGAAACTGGTACACAACAAAGGCATTGTTTGTTAGGACAGGGACACAGCCAGTACTGTGTCCACTGGCCAGTTGCACTGAGCCCAGGGCAACAGGTGGCAGGGTGACATCCTGAGAAACAGCAATGGAAAACTGGCCATCTGGTGTGCAATGAGCTGTCACTGGAGAAAAAGATAGAATCATTCTTGAGCTCAAAGATGAGAGAGATGGGAAGGACGCCCTAACATCACAACCAAGACAAGACCAGCAAGTCCTGCAAGATGTCCTGCCTTTAACCCACAAAACAAGTGCTAAGTATGGCAAGACAAGTGCAGCCAGTTCCAACAACAACACCGATGCTGGGCATAATACCAGGTGTGTTGCAATAGAGTGGAAAATGCTGGACACTTGACTGGGACATGATATTCTTGGCAGCCAGAAACATAGCCCTGAGCCACCTGCAGGAGTGGTACACACCAAGTGCTGGCTTGCCCTGCCAGTAAAATGAGAAATCCTGTTTTGCAGCAGCTCAGGAGGGAGGGAGAACAGGTGCTCAGGCTTACCTGTGTTACCAAAGTAGCAAGGCTTCATCCTGTCTCTGGGGTCATAGCAGCAGCCTGGTCTTCACAGTCTCCCTGGCTGATGGGCAGGGAGGCACAGGGCAGCCAGTCCTGGCTGGGAACAGCCAGACAGACACTGCTGCTTGGAGCATCCAGGGCTGGAAAAAACAGCAGGTCTTTGCAGATAAAGCACAAGAGCAGGGGGACAAAGACATGAAGGACACTGGTTGAAGGAGTCCTGGTGATTCTGCATACAAATCAAGGGAAGTGAGAGTTAGGTGAGGGTCAGACACATGGCCTGGATCTGGCATGGAAGCCTGCTCAGGAGGGACCTGCATTTCCATGGAGCAGAGACTCCCCCTGAGGCCATGTACAGGAAACTGAACCTACATTGGATCTGCCAAGATAAAGCTTTCTAGATGGACTCGTGGTAATTAAGGAAATCATTGTACCTAGTCTCTAGTTAATTCACTGACCTTGCTGAACTCATGTAGCCAGAATATGGCTGGGAGACATGATGTACATATTCACCTGCTGACCCTGCAGAGAGGCAAGAGTCCACAGCAAGTTTGTGGCTCCTATGTCCAAACCTTTTTTCATGGAGATTTCTGCACAGCAGTAAGTCCCCTTTCCTAGCCCCCAAACTGACTAGGAGCAGCCATCTGAAAGGAATGGTACTGATCACCACAAGATTCTGACAGGTGCTTGTATCTTACCAGGAAGGTCCATAGGGCACCTGAGCAGAGTCTCTTCATGAAGAACCTTTTGCCTAGCAGCATCTATTCCTTCAAGCCCAACCAGTATAAGGTAATTGTGATCCTAGGGAAAAGCCATACCAGCCAGGACAGCCAGAGCAGCAGTAGTTACGGTCCCAGGAGAATCCCTAAGGCCACTCACCCCCTCAAAGACATAACAGCCTGCATAAGAGACCGATATTTTCCTGGAGCCTTCTGGAGTCCCAGATACCAAGAGCCCACAGCCAGAGTCATTCTGCAGAGCATGTGCCTTCCCTTCAGTATCTAGGGAAAGGGGACACAGCAGCAGGGGCTTCAGAGTCCCACATTGCAGATTAGACCCACTACAAGCCTACCTTTCTGTAGGAAACAGGGACGTAGAAAATATTAGGGTCTGGAACAGCAGTGAGAGAATCCAGCAGCCAAGACATCTAGATCCAGGCACAGCACTTCACCAAGTCCTTGACTGCTGTGTGATATAAACAGCCCCCAGATTATGCAAGATGTACAGAAGTTCAGTGAAGTTCAACAGCACTGCACATCAAAACCTGTTCCTTTCCTCTCCTTCCATGCACCTCTGCATTTGGGCAAAGATATGGCTAAAAATGCCTCTTGATATTGCCTCACCCCATGTAGTCAGTACAAAATGAAGCATTCCCTTCCCAGCCTGGTGGTAAGGTGAGCTGTAAGCTTTTCTGGCCACAAGTCAGCAGGGTAGGATCAGAAAAAACACTGATAGGAGCCCCCAGAACCAAAGCCAGGGGGCCAAGAAACACAAGAAACAGAAACAGAAGAGCATAACTCCTGATGCAGCCCAAGACCACCCTACAACAACCATCCTGCTCTCTTGCTAGGCTCTTATCCTAGTCCTTTTAAATTGTGAAGCCAGCTGGGACCAGAAACTCCTGAAGTGCCCAGGTGGACCCAGCCAGCAGTTTAACATCTTCCATTGCCCTCACCTGAATTCAGCAGAGTCTGCTGGTGCTCTTTGAAGAAAACCAAAGGGCAAGAGTTGAACTAAGGTCAAGAGACAGGTCTGTATTCATACTGTAGAGCCCCAGGAGGGTCTTCAAAGCTTCTTTCCTACCCTGAGTTCTTCCCACAGCTGGGACACATAGGAAATCTGGTTGCTTCTCCCCATGCACCCTATTGCTGCTCTAATTGCTCAATATATGGCATGAGTGCAAGAAACAGTGACAATGCTCTTTTATTCTTTTAAAGATTATACGTGTTCAAATGCCAGACATAGGGTGCTGACACAAAAGCACAGAAAGAGCCCTCCACATAAAATCTGTGAGAAATCATGGAGCTCAGAAGGCCTTGCACACCTAAACAGTGGTGATTCCCCATAAGCACTCTTGGCTGTGGACTTACAGCCCTGTTTGCAGTGGGGATAGTTGCAGGACTGGTTCAGACCTGGTTGCTAAGTGGCAGGATGCTCTCTGGGATCCCTACCCCCAAAAAGTGGCAGGTGGCCCCTGAGATGGGCTTGAAACACAGGCAAGGGGAGCTTTTGTGATCCCAGAGAAAACTGCCTGCCAGCAGCCATTGCCTGCCTGTAAGTGCAAGGTGTCATGGAGAGTCTCCTCCCCAGCCACACATCAGGCAGCCACACCAAGCGAATGCCTCATAGTCCATCTTTCCATGCATGTTTCTGCATTCATACCATGAAACTGTGAATGTCTTTACACTTCTGCCTTTTAGCAGATCCTCCAGCTCCTGGATGTCCGCACAGCACCGTACAGCCTCAGTGCCCTGGCCCCAGCCAGCCCTCACCACAGGCATGGCGGGTGGGCAGCAGCTGAGTCTGAGGGAGGCATTTCCTTTGCCCTTCCACCTCAGCCCACAGCCCATCTTTGCTGCACAGCTGTGCAAGATGCCATGATCCCAGCTGGTCAAGAAGGTCACTGTGCCTACATCTGCTAATTTCATGCACCAGCCAGGATGGCTGCTCCACAAAGTGTAAGACCTTGCCAGCAGCTGTGCACAACAGGAGATGGAGGCAATGGATCTTGGCAGCTTGCCTGCATAGCTGAGGCTTGAGCAGCCCTCATGAACCAACTGTGCTCCCCACAGTGCCTGCCAGGGCACCAGGCAGCAACTGAGGAGAGACACCAGGGAAAACATTTGGACTTTGGCAAGGAGGGAGGCTTCATCTCTTTAGAAGCCTGTATGAACTGTGTATGCCCCAATCACATCATCACTGAATGACAGCCAAGTGCTTCTTTTGGCTGCATTACCTGCTGATAACTGGGTAAAAATCAGTAAAGTACTTTGGAGCTATAGGGAAGTACTTTTATTATACATTAACCCATCAATACTTCTGATAATAAAAAAAAAATGTCTACATGGACTTGAAGAATAATTCTACATGAAAGAACCCCAGAACTTCTGTAGATCTGGCAAGGAGTACCTGTGCTGAGAACAGTTTCAGGCAACTGCCCTTTCCTAGTTCCTACACAGACACCAAATAGCTGTGTTTGATCATGTAGGGATGGAAGGCTCTTCAGATGAGCCTGAACTTCAGGGAAATTAAATGCTTTGCTTGAAAGAAGTTGTTATGGAAAATGGAAAGTGGAAAGCAGCCTAGCTGAAATGAAAAAAGCAGGTCTCTCTTCCTCAAAAATCTTCCTCACCCATTTGATCATTCTCATGCATTCCAGTGACCCAGTTGTAATCACCAGTTTAGAGAGCAGCCAAGACCACCACAGACAGGAAGGACATGCAGAGGATGAAGGCAGGTGAAGAAAACCTCTCTGTGGATTACTAGACTGATCAATGAGTGCCATGGGAAACAGGGAACTTCATAGACAAGGTGGTAAGGTCATGAACGCTGCTAGCTGGCAGCTACCTCATGTCAAAGTGCAAACTCTCATGAACTTTACATTCATTGGATGAAAGTCCATGAACCTGCATGAACTTCCATAAACTGCCCTGGCAGCATCTGAGCTGATGCAGGAATTCTGCCCAGCAACTAGCCAAAAGTTGTTGGCACTTTGGTTTTTCCACCAAAGCTCTCGAAGAAGTAAAATAAGATTTAAAATGAACAACTAGAAAATTGTTGCACCCATCCAAGAGAACAAGGATGACTTAGAACTCCCTTCTGTAGAGAAGGTACAAAAACTTTTGCAAGGGATGGAGATCTTCACTAACTCCTCTGAGTGGAAGGGAAACTCACCTTAACACACTGCTGTGCAGTAAACACAGTATGCCCCAACGAAGCACTCAGCTCAGCCAGGCCTCTTGCTAATTCCCACCAAGTCCCACATCCCCTATCCTTGCAACACCTTCTAATCAGTTTTGCCTGCAAATGTGTCACAGGTCAGGAGAGACAGAGGGTTAAGGTCAGACTGAACAAGATGAGCACAGCCCTGAGGGTTTTCTACCAGCCCCTGCCATTGCTCTTGGGACCCTGCTGGTACGCAGGCCATGGGCAATCTTGGGCAGGAAGCCTCCAGCTCTTTTTTAAGCCCTTGCAACACAGTCGACACGCTCTGCTGTCTCCCAGAGCACCTAGGGAACTTACAGAGCACTAGTTCCTCATAGTGGAGTCAGACATCAAGAAAACAAGAAGCTGTGCATGCCAGCTTCCAGCTGTAGGCTGGGTGAGCTGCTTTGGTAAGTGCAAGGACAAGTTGCCAGGTTGCAATGGCCTATACCCATCCTCAGACAAGTACATCTCTGTCCCAGTTTGAGAAGCCATTTCCCAGAGACTCTCTCAAGTTCTGGGTTTCTCTCTTCTCTCTACTTTTTTTTTTCCTCTAGGGGCCCTTGAGGAGGTCAGAGTCTCAAGGTTTTGTCCCCTTTTCTTACATCTTCATTTAATCTCACCCAGCAAGTCCTTTCTTGTCTGTTGTCATGTCTGGAGACCTTTCTAGCCTTGCTGGATAGATATTTTATACTCTCCTCTCTTGTGAGGCCAGACACCATTATGGAGAGAGACTGGGGCTATTGCTGAGCAATTGCTGAGGAAAACACAGTGGCTTGTCCTTTAGCAAATAACATGCAGTATGAAGTTTACTAATAACATCAGGAAGATTTCAGGAACAATGAAGGATGGCTCACAGCACTGACGGCTTGCACAATCAATACGGAAGAACAGAAAACCCAAATGTCACTGAACTACTTGGAAGATGTTCTTGTGACAGTGAATATCTGTGAGTGCCTCAGAAGGGCATTGTCCCCCTACCATGATTTCTTTAACAATTAAGTCTAGATAAAAGAAAACAAGTTTTGTGAGCACATTACCGATTTCCTAATCTCTGTTGGCTTCTGCAGTTGTTTGAGATAAGGTGTGACTTCACAGAATAATTAATACCAATAAAAGTCTTCGTTTCATAACACAGGGCAATCTAACAAATGATTGACTAATAAACATTGACTGACTCAGCCATGTGACCCAAAACCTGCTCTTGAACTAACACAGACCTTTGGGATATAAACTCAGATTCTGACAGCCAGAGTCACTCCCTCCTGAGCCACAGACAAAAATGGAGCTCCTGGGAGGAGCCACTGTTGTCCTCCTGGTTTGCATTGCCTGCCTGCTCTCCTTTGCAGCATGGAAAGGAAGGTCTGGGAAGGGGAAGATGCCTCCAGGACCAACTCCCCTTCCCATTCTAGGCAACCTGCTGCAGGTGAAACCAAGTAACTTGGCCAAAACCCTCCAGAAGGTAAGGCCACTTCTTCTTCTGTCGTTCTGCTTTGGGTGAGAAATCTGTGGGACTTGTGTGTGGGGTCAGCCTGTGGCTATGGCTCAATGACTTGCAATTCCAGAGGAGCAGAAAAGTCATGGGGATTGCAGCTGCTTCCCCTCATTGCTGTTGCCATGTTGTTTAGGGCCTGATAGGTGGGACCCATCTGCACAGCCACATTTATCATGAGAGACCCAAATCTTGATGTTACCAATGTGTGAGGCTAACTGCCTGCTGTGGAAGGCAGCAGCAAGGAGACTTTCCCACTCTTCCTCACTATTTGCTCCATGGCCATGTTCTCTCTTGCATTTTTACAGCTCAGTGAAGAGTATGGACCCGTGTTCACAGTGCACCTGGGCTCTGACCCAGTGGTGGTGCTGCATGGATACGATGTGGTGAAAGAAGCTTTGGTTGATCGCGCAGACGAGTTTGCTTCCAGGGGACACATGCCAATTGGAGACAGGGCTAACAATGGATTAGGTATGTTTGCTGGCTGAGCTTCTGAAGGAGAAGGGAAGGGCTGAGCATGTGATCAGCAGATTAGAGCTGGAGTGTACCTTGCATGAGGGAAAACTGCATGGGGTGGGTGCAATCCACCTGGAGAGGGGAAGCCAGAGAAGGCTACTGCCACTCAGAGGGTGGGAGGTGGCAGAGAAGGGGAGCCAGATTGCTCTCAAAGATGGGCAGGGAAATGGCAAGGGGCAGCAGCCCACAGCTGCAGCAAGGGAAATTGTGTATGGGTGAGTATGAATTATTCACAAGGATGTTGGGCATGTAGTGGAGAAGACCAAAAGCAGGCAGTTGGACTACAGAACCTCCAAACCACAGTACACTGTGACGCTGCCATGTCAGTGCTCTCCAGGAACAGGATTCACTGTCACCACGAGCCACTGTTCATCTCACAGCCAGCATGCCCAAGACATGTCTTTTCTCTTCTTTCTTCTTCTGCAGGGATTATTTTTAGCAACAATGAGCTATGGTTACAAGTCCGGCGGTTTTCTCTCACCACTCTGCGGAACTTTGGAATGGGGAAGAGGAGCATTGAAGAGAGGATACAGGAGGAATCTGACTACTTGCTTGAAGAGATCAACAAAACAAAGGGTACAATCCATTTTTAATATAGCTTATGTTTGAAAAAATAGGCTCTATTAAGGGAGCTCACTTCTTTAGCATGGAATGAAGTTCCTATGGATTTGGTCCATGCACCAGCTACTCCTCTTTATGAAGCTGAAATAATTTTGTGATCATGTCCTGTTCTGTTTGGAGGACCCTTCTGTGTCACTCAGAGACTGATCTGATATTTCCACTAAGAACTGGAGTTCAGATTACCCACAGTAGCCATAAGTAGACAAACAACATTTCATGGGGTTTTTTTTAATAGTCTGTAATGTTTCTGAAATCACAGGAAGAGCTTTTGACCCAACCTTCATGCTGAGCTGTTCTGTCTCCAATGTCATATGCTCCATTGTCTTTGGGAAACGATATGATTATAAAGACAAGAAGTTCCTGGCTCTGATGGACAACATGAACAACATCTTTGAGATGATGAACTCCCGCTGGGGACAGGTATGTTCAGTAGGCATTTCACATTCACATTACACAGTGGCAACATTCTCCTAGGGGAGCAGGAGGCCTCCTTCCCAATGAAGTTCCATTTTAGTCTTCTAAGTAGGACCCCATCAATGCTCTGCTGCACTGAAGGCATTTCATTCAAGAGCAAGAAACTCCCTCACCAAAGCTGGAATTGGCTTTGCCAGCTACATGCAATAGTTCCTAATAGCCCTGGACAACTTTCTTCTTCACTTCTAAGGTTACTACTACTACTACTACTATGCAAGTCCTGCCAGACTGCTCAGCCTCATAGTCCTTCTGCTTGGCTCAGCTGACAGGGTTGTGGCTTTTTGGTTAGTATCAAAGGATGGGGCAAATGTCATACTAGGGACCTTCATGTTTCTTTCCTTCCAGCTCTACCAGATGTTCTCAAATATCATGGATTACCTGCCTGGCCCACACAACAATATATTTGGAGAATTTGATGCTCTAAAAGCATTTGTAGCAGAGGAGGTAAAGCTGCACCAAGCCTCCCTAGATCCCAACTCCCCTCAGGATTTCATCGATTGTTTCCTCAGCAAAATGCAGGAGGTAAGGAGAAGATGGCGCCAGCTTGTCCCCAAACACACCTATGCTGAGTCCTTCCCTCTCATAAGTAACACAGACATGGGGATGACCCCTTCCAAGTCAGCTGTGCAATAGGAAAACAGTAACAATACCCCAGATACTGCCTCTGTTAGAGCTTATAGTTCTGGGTCTGCGTGCTCACCAGCCACCACTACTGTTTGGAGAGGGAGAGCTTCCTCTGCTTTCACCAAAACACAGGGACTTTTTCAGTCTGGTCTTGCAATTCTTTCACTGGAAAGCATTAGACACAGCAAACAAGCAGTTGAGTGCCATTCAGTGCACAGCTTAAAAGGAGGCTAGTATTGAGTTTACTGCTAAAGGCTGCATTGCAATGCCCCAGATGGCTGCTGCCCCTTAGCAGAGAAATGCCACAGCTCTAGGAAAAAAGGAAGGTCTGGGATGACATGTGAAAGGGCCACTTTCTCTCATCTCAGCCAGAGGAAAAACAAAGCCTTTTCCTTAGGAGAAAGATCATCCCAATTCCAGTTTCCACATGAAGAACCTGATAACAAGTGCTTTCGACTTGTTCATTGCTGGAACTGAGACAACAAGCACCACTGTACGATATGGGCTTCTGCTTCTTCTCAAATATCCAAAGATACAAGGTACCAGTTTGTGACCTCTTCCTCTCTAGCTGTTCCCCTGGGCTGGGCACATGACTAACACCACATCCTCCTCCCAGATTTTCCCTTCATATCTCTCTCTCTCTCTTTTTCTCTCTGGGACCTGACTGTGTCCACTGTGGCCAAATCAATACAAGTTTCTTTGCACGGGCAGAAGTGTTAGCTGTGTTCTAGTCAACATCAAAATCAACTTAATGCTCCTGCCATCTGAGATTTGTTACTAGTTTACAGCAACCTATTTAGATGGGTTTGGTTTTATTTACCCATTTGATGATTTGTGCTTCTCATGACAGAGAAAATTCAAGAAGAGATTGACCAGGTAGTAGGACGATCAAGAAAACCCTGTGTGGCTGACCGGTCCCAGATGCCCTACACAGATGCCGTGGTCCATGAAATCCAGCGCTTCATCTCTCTTGTCCCCCTGGCTCTCCCTCACACTGTGACCAAAGACACCAGCTTCCGAGACTACGTCATTCCTAAGGTGAGCTGCCTCCAGTTCAGCAGTTCTTAGGCTGTCAGTTACAAGCCACAAGTTAGAACTGTTGTGGCGTGATTTTGTTTTCACCCAGTCCTTTGTGAATGTTTTATCCTCAGGCAGCTGGAGCTGACTTGCACTCCCTTCTTGATGCCCCGTGGGCCAACACTAAAACAGTAGCTCTGACCAACACTTTTGTTCCCTTGCTCTGAAGCTTTACATATTTGCAGAAGCACATTAGGTCCACAAACTAGAGCGGTGATTCTGCACACTAAAGTCTCCTCACACAAAGTTGAGGAGCAGCTCACCACCATCCACGATAGCTTGGGCACATGCTTGGGAGCAAAGTCAGTTGCTGGTTATTGAGCACAGAAAGATTTTGAGCCACAAAATACTGTAGGTGATGTTTGCATTGAATGGAACAAGCCAAACCTGTTGGCTCTGTTCTAGCACACTTCCTGAGGCAGTCTCTGCTGGCCACTGCCAGAGGCAGGCTGGTGGGCCACAGAAGCCCGTGGCTTGGCCTGGCTCACTGCAGCAGTGCTTGCTGCTCTTCTGGGTGACTGTGGGCAGCTGGGAAACAGCAGTACATGGGCTGCTGGTGGAGTGATTTCCAGCTCTCTGTGCAAAATCATCAGGCAGGACCCAGAGAACTGCTTAGCCATCAGCAGAGAACTCTTGTGTCATCGCTGCTGAATACTCCAGCCCCTGTCAACGGCTGGCCAGGAAGTGGGAAGGTAGAGGACTGTGGCAGGAGAAATTTGTGAGGACAGGGGAATTCCACAGGAACTTCTTTTCCACAGCCTTGTGTGCTTTTGATATTTTGGACTCGTAGAATAGAAGGGTCATGGTGCATCTACAAAGTCATTATTGTGAAACACCAAGAAAGAGAAGAATTAGGTAGGGTGTCCCCTGATGACCAGCACAAGGTCAGAATTAATACCCTGGAGACGACAGGGAGAATTCAGGAAGAGCAGCCAAAAACTGCTGTGACATTCAGCAGGGTCTCCCTAAATCTGCCTCCTCTAAAGAAGGGTCTCTAAAGGGAAACCAAAGGCACATGTAGGGTTATACAGGGAAGCACAGTCTCAACTTGACAGGCTGTCAGATTGAGTAACCTCATTTGCCAGCCTTTCATGTTCTGCTCCTCTTGTGTTACTCCAGGGCACTACAATTTTTCCAGTCCTCAATTCTGTCCTCCATGACAGTAAAGCGTTTCCAAACCCACATGAGTTCAATCCTGAACATTTCTTGAATAAGAATGGCAGCTTTAAGAAGAGTGAATTCTTCATGCCCTTCTCAGCAGGTAAGGCACAGGTTTGCTCTTTTCCTCTCTCTGTCAGCCTCCCCCTCTGGTGATCACCCTGTCTTTCCCTGCTGTTCTTCCTTCACACACCCATCCAAACTGTCAGGGGTCTTTTGCCAACAAATTCTTCTCTTGAAAATGTCCATGGTAACTTTGACAGTTGTCTCACTGCTATGGCTGTGTGTAGTAAACAAAGCTGTGCAACACAGCTGCTAAGCACAAACTCTGGTCTACTCAGAAACTCCCATTGAGTTCTATTTGCTGCTTTCACTTTCAGGAAAACGAATATGCCCAGGAGAGGGCCTGGCACGAATGGAGATATTCTTACTCATAGCCACCATCTTGCAGAACTTTACTTTGAAGTCTGTTGTCAACGCCCAGGAGCTCAACATTACCCCGACTCTGAGTGGGACAGGCAATGTACCTCCTGCCTACCAGCTCTGTGCTGTCCCCCGCTGAAAAGCACTGAACCACTCTCCAGTGTCCTAAAACTGGCTATTCCTTTACATGTTCTTTACTAAAATCAACAGCAGGAGCACTGGCCCACCTTTCCCAGGCCTTCAGGAAGGCAGTCCAAACACAAGGCACAGAGCAGAGACCTCTGAAGCCTCCCAGAACTCCACCACACCGCAGGAGGCCCTGGGTGACATTGCAGCCTCTTGCACAGATGCTCTGTCACAGGATCATTGAGTGCAGTGGCTGCATCAAACAGCCACTGTTGGTTTTCTCACCAGCACAGGTCCCCTGGCTCTCCCACAGCATGTGTCCCTCCAAGACCTGGCTTTGCAGACGGATATTGCTGCATGTGTGTACATTCATGATCCAATAAACAAATATCTGTTTATGACGATTTGAGCTGTTATTTAATTTGGGTTGGGGCAATGCCCACATCGGCTGCTGCACTGCAGAGTAGGTCTGCAGAGCCTGTGGCCAGCACCCTGTGGGAAGGGCTGTCCCTCCTGGGCAAGGATCCTGCCTTTGTCACCCACTGTGCTCACTCCTGCTGCCTGCAGGGAGCTCCAGAGCAGTCACAGCACACCACAAGTCGAGAAGGCTCACGGTGCTGGAGGGGAAGGGTGTCCTGCAGCCTGTCTGCCTAATGAAAAGAATGCATTCATGCTTTTTGCAGCCTGTTCCAAGGAGGTCACTTACCTGAGCATTGGAGACTGCAACCAACTCTCTGGCACTTGTTTTCTACCATCAGTATCACTGCAGGGATTTAGATGCTCTTTATTAAAATGAATTCATTTAGGAAAAGGGTAGTGTCTCTTATTTCTGCCTCCAGCTACAATTCGGTGCCATTCTTTCAGTAAGAGGCCAGACGGTTTTAATAAAAATATTCCACCACAGATTACTTTCTCCTGGGCTTCTTTGTTCCTGTGGCCTTTGGTTGTGTCTGGATGTTCAGTTTGTTGTGTTTGTCTTGATCTTCATTTACATAGATACTTCTTGTCCCCTGCATCATGGTCATACAAAAATCATAGTGGCAAAATATAATTTCTGTGTTTGGTTCTCACAAGGCACTCAGAGACCGTGTGAGTACTGCAGAGAAAACAGTGTGCAAGAATTCCCACTGAGGCAGAAGCTCTCTGGCCACATTCCCACCTCCCTTTGGAAATGTTTAGAATTACTTTGATAGAGATATCACATTTGCCCATAGCTCAGGTCCATCCCTCCTTGTCCCTCAAATTTTTCCCATGAGGACTGCAGCTCTATTGCTTGTGTACTCTAAAACAATGGCAAACCATTGCTGACTGCTCATCTGGGATTGCATCTAATGGACAGGTGTGCAAGCAGAAACAGCAGTCACGTATGAGACCCAGGCACAATGGGGAGGAGATTACCTTGAGGTTTCCATTAGTCTAAGGCTGCCCTTAGAGTCAGTCCTGCAACCCAGCAGCATGTGTGCTTTGGTCAGAACAAGTTAAAAACTGCTTACATCTGGAGGTCTTGGAGGGGATGATTCATATTCATGTCCTTCCTGCCCCCTGGCATGCTGATTCATCTGAGGCAATGAACAAAACCATGACAAACAACATCTTTCAACAATTCACCAACAACTGCATAAGGAGCACAGGGCAGTGAGAAAATGTTCTCTTCCTAAAGAGCTCCAGAACACAGAACATGCTCAGGGGTTAACCAACCACACAGAGGATAACATTTGGGATAATATTCAACATATCCTAAGCTGGATGCAATAATGCTGTGTCATTTGGAACAATGACAGCATCCTCTTGACACCTGCTCACGAGAATGACCTTGCAGAGGTCTGCTTCATAATCTAGGGCACCAACCTCCTCTTTGCTCCAACTGCCCTAAGACCCAACAAGAGCTCCAGGACAGAAAGGCTGAGGGCAGATGCTAAAATCCAAGCAGGTATTTGAAACCATCTCTTGCACGGTAAGGAAAGGCAGAGCTAATGAAGCAGTGAATTTGATTGCTGTGGTTGGGGCAGAGAACGGGAGGTTAAACACCCCCAAGGAGCTTTCCAACCAATAGATAGGTGGTCCAGTGCCTCACCTCTCCTCCTTTCTGACCTCTCCCTGCTAGTCCCATCCAAAGACCCAACTTCCACTCACCATTTCATACTTCTCCATGGAAAATCCCTGCATGCAGTAACAGCAGACTGCCCAGTGTCAGGGTTAGTGCTCCTTTTAGGATAAACTTCTTTTCCTGCTAACACATGCAGGACCTGCAAAGTGGAAAAGATGGCATTTTTCTTGGGCTGACTCAGACAAACTGGCTAGGTCCCAGAAGATCCAGGCTCTGGCACACACCTGGGAAGCTGGGCTTCAGGGGATTGGAGCCTCCATATCTTCTCTACCAGCAGCATGGCAAATCAGGCAGCTTCTGGCTCTAAGACTGCACTTACGAGGCACAGAGGGGAATCCTGCTTTTGCTTTCTAAGGCTACTACCTCCTCTGCCAGAGCATTTGCTGGAAATGCCAGGACAAAGTGGAAGATTTCTCCTGGCTTGATGCTGGGACCAACGAGTCTGTCTGGACTGAGGTATGATTCTTTGTCTGAAGTAAGTTGTGCCCCTGGGCCATGCTGTGCCATGGTACTTGGCTGCAGAAGGCTACATGGGGATCCTTATTCCTTACTTCATCTCCTGCTTTGCTGTTTTGGGAACAGCTGAGAGGAAATTCAGATACCATGAAGGTTTGGGTAGCTGTGACACACCACAGCACTGTTCTGGGTAGTGGAACATTAATCAATTAGGTGTGTGTGGGGAAAAGAACTCAGACATGATCCTTAGCAAGCAGGGCAGACATCAAGCAGTGGACAGAAAGAGGAAGAAAAGCATTTTAGGTGCTGCCTTAGCAGCATTTTGCTGCCACTGATTGTGGACGAAAACCTTGCTGTAAGGAACATCTACCTCATCCTCTGGTCCTTCACACAGGAATTTCAAGTCTCTGGGTCTTTGGCACCTGCTGCTGAAGGCCATGGGTTGTAGTGTAGTGAATGAGCTGATCCTTTAAAAAATGCTTTCAGACTAATTCTCCGATCCCTGATATTTATCACTGCAGACCTGCATCTAGGCCCCCTAAAGTGTGAGCAACACATGGGACAATGCAGCCCTTTGGCTGGCCAACTTGTTTCTCTGCCCCACTTTCTAAATGCTCCCTTGATTGTAATAGCCAATACAAACCTAAAGGACCACAGCCAAGTTCCTTCCTGGTATTACCTGCAGACCCAAACAACAGCTGGCAAAACAAGGAATGCAGTACGAGAGTTCCTCCCGTTGAGGAAGTGGAAAATGTATGCATACCACAGAATGCACAACTGAATCCACAGTCTTTAATGAATGCAGAGATTTGTTCTGGACACAGGTACTTTTGTGATTGTCCCCACACCCTCTTCTTCTCCCCCTCTAAAAATTGTTCTAGTTAGTGAAATGTAAAACCACACAAAGACCAGAATACATATTCACACATCAGAGGGTTTGACATTGTTTTTCTTAAGAAAATTTCACTCATTTAGAATTATTGACTGTAAAGTCCAGTCAGTACAGCAGAAATATTCTACATAGATCATTGGTTGGAATGCACAGTACAATATTTGTGAACACACTGTCACAAAAGACATCTGGATGAACACTAACAAGTGTCGTAGATCTGTCAAACCACATTGCAAGCATCTGCATCAAACCAGTCTGGGTTGTATGGGAAATTACCAGAACATGGAAAAAAAGATGTTAAAGTACATGGGAACCTGCTACAGTCACTTTCCTCTAGAGTCACTGCTGCCACTAAAAGGTCAGAAAACTTGAACTGCTGCTTGTCACCTGAAACTTTCCTTCTGTTTCACAGGGATTGATGTCACACCTTTATTTCCAGGCCTGAGTTATTGTAATTTTGCTTGAACTGGTGAAAAGAAGAGAAGGACAAACGCACACCCCATCTAGCAGAGCTTACTTCTCCAGACCTGCATGGTCAAAGAAGCTTGAGATCAGAGGTCTTGCCTGTAAAAAGGCCACGAAATTTGAAAAAATAAACAAAGCAGAGCTGAAATAAAGCAAACGAAAGAAAACAAAACCAAAACAGAGATAACATGATTTTATACAGCCTGCAATAAAGTTATAGTCCATGGTACAGTTTTGTTCACATTACACTTATTAAGGCTTTGACTACTGGTCTTCTACATGCACATTTTATATACAAATAATCCTCTGTGTGTAGGCATAAATTACTTTACTTTTCTTGATCTAAGCAAGAAAATATTTTCATGCATTTGCTTCTCCTAGTATTCACAATACTTGGCCCATATTCTATTCAAGGATTTCTGGAGAGGGCTGGGTCTATTTATTATCCATCTGAAAATGCCCTTATCTCCAGGAATGTTGTTTGTGTCAGACAGTGGCACTGGCCCCACCCATCTCCACAGTCAAACACCAGAGAGGAGAGAGAGGAGGTGCCACTCCTAAGCCTGACAGCACAATGGTTATGTAAACATAGCAATCCTTGGATTATAAATACTTTATTAAAGCTAACATATCTCAGCTTTTAGCTCATAATTGCCCGTGAGTGCCTTAATGAAACATTCAGAATGAAGTATTTCTTTTTCCTCCCATGTCAACTGCTCAGTTACAGTGGTTCCCCCAAAACATACTTTTCCGTTTGTTTTTTTTTCTGAAAGAAGTACCAAGCTACCTGTTAATTCTTCAAGCCTGTGGCTGGGTAGCTCTCATAGGCAAACAAGAACATGTCTGAGCCTTATAACTCTTAAGTGCTCTAAGTCAAAGTCACCATCTCACTTGCACCCTTGCCATGAAGTTAAGAGACTGGGCCAGCACCAGTGACAAATGGGGAAGAAGCAGAAACCAGAAGAACTCTTCCATTTCTAGCCCCATGCCTGCAGCTTGCAAGTTTGACAGGTTCCCAGAGATCACCAGAGCTGACCTGTAGCATGGCCTGTGTCCCTCTGTCTCAGGGACACCCTGACTTCCCCTGCCCCAG